AATACAAATCTCGTTTTGATCTCTTTTTTCATATTCCTGCGATGTGCCAAATTTCAACCGAATCATCCGCTCGAATTCGCTTTTACCTTTTCACGTTCCGATTCCCATTCAGCCCTTGCCCGATTCTCTCCTCCTTAATTGCCCTTTCCTCAATTTTTTCGTTGCTCGATTTTCCTCCCTTTCAATCCAAACATTTAAAATGCTCGCTCGCTCGCGAGTAATAACTCTTCCCCTTCCCCCTTCCGTTATCTCTTCTAATATTTCCTCTCGACTGCCTGCACTTTTTAATTGTTATTTTACCTCGATCCCGTTATCTGGATACAAAGCATCTCAAAGTTTCGCGAATCTTTTCGATCTCATCGAGATACCAAATAGCATTATAACGACGAAACGCGATCTCTTTCTATCGATGCGACGAAATAATTTTAACCTGGCCCGACTATTGGACAATCCCCGAGTGCCACTCAAATTTCCCAATATCGGCGATTCTTCCTTTTCAGGATTGGGCAATGCTCCAAGTAAGTGCTTCGTTTTTTCCATTCGGCGCGGCCAAAGTTATCGTAAATCTCCTCCAAATCCTCGCGCGATCATCTTGTGAGGGTTCGTCTCTCTTTGGAATTTCTCAATTTTCAGCAACCGGTCGACCATCGACGAGGCAAGCGAGAACGACGCGAGATAATCGAAAGGCGAGCCTTCAAGTGATTAGTCGCAAACTGTGGCGCAATCAAGTTCGTTAGATGAACGTATTTCCGATATAAACGGGCTCATGTTTTGCTCGCGTTGCTTTCCGGATGTGCGTGATTGTTACCCGACGGTGCAAAAACGAGCTTCGCACGTGCATCTTGCCGGCTTCGTGAAGGGAAAGTCTCGTCTGTATGCAACTGATGCGCGTCCTACGACGGCGCTAATAAACGCCGAGAAGAGCAACGAATTCTCCTTTCCCGCGACGCGCCTGGCGAAGAGAGAGATCCGTTCGCCTTAATTATTCTCTCGCGAGTTGATCTTAGAGGGTTACCGGCAACACTTAGATAGTAATTAACGTTTTATACTAACGACATAACGTCTATCGATTTTATATATGTACGTATGTAGTCCGCCGACGGCGGATGACGTCACAACTTACGTCGCGGAATACAATATTCCAGGCCTACGTGTCTCTCGGCGAAGAGATCACTGAGCAGTCTACCTCGATCTTCAGTCTTGGCGATTTTCACGCGTCGAGCCTCTGGAAATCGGGATCTAGGGGTAAAAATCACAGCCAATAGAGTGAAATTACGCTCGTCGATCGTTGCCGCGATCGCGATCAGTCTCATGTGCTCTCGTATGTATGTGCTCCTAGCTCCTAGCCCCTTTGCTCCGGTCGATCTATCGCCCGGGATGCTCTCGGGTACGCTAAGTTATCTTCCGGCACCTGGCGCACTGCCTGTATCTGAGCAATCTGAACAGCGTCGCCTCCTTGATGCGCTTCGATCGCATTATTTTGCCCGATCGACCCTGGCTTGACGACGGAGATCCCCTTGAGGTAATGCATGTAATGCATCCCCACGAGTACGCACTTCTCGATGATTTATTCCGTCCCGGCGTTCATTCCGTCCACCGAGCGTGGCAGCGTCTGCAAAAGAAAGCATGAGAAAAATTCCGTTGTTACTACGGCAAAGGCTGACTATCAATCGGCGACGCGGTTTAATCCTGAAGAGAAACGACGAGACTGCACTCGCAGGAAAATATTCAGCCATTATTCAGTTACCCTCGTATTTACGTCATAAATTTTCCCGAAAATGATACCTCCTTTTTGCCCCTATCTCTTTTATTAAAATTATAATCAAATATAATTATAGCGGTAATTGTATTCTCTTTCATTTAGTTTTTAAATTTTCAAAAAATAACTGTGAAAACTGTGAAAATTGATTAATCATTAATATTTTTCTCCCTTTTTAAAACAATTTTCCGTCACGTTATATATAACTAAACAGAACGATGATTAATATTTAATATAGTTATTAAGTTACCTCGAAATGCATTATACATTGTTAATTTTAATTTTTACTACGCAATCAAACATTATCTTCTGATATTACTACGTGCAATTTTCGAATCTGCTGGAATTCTAAATTTGATAGCTCTATACTACCAAATGGATCGGATGTACAAGAAGCAGAACGGTGTGCACGAAGTCGATAGGGAATACTGTTCAAAGACTAGATGGAATTGAACGTAAATGAATGGACAAGCCCGGACGAGTAAAAAGGAAAGGGGGATTTGACAATGACCACTCAAATACAAAACATATTCGATAGCGAATCCTGGAAACGAAGGATCATCGATCTATCTCCGTTCAAGCACTATGCGCGTTTCCTCCTTCGAGATGAATCTCGATTCATATAATATAAATACTTCTCTTTTTTCTTTTCTTTTCTATCTTTTTTATTAAAATTATTAATGTTAAATTTGACAAACATTAGATATAAAAGAAAAAAAGTACTCATAGGTGAATTTATTTCGCTGGTAACACTTTTGAATTGTGAGTGACATAAATTTTATACAAATTTTATTTTTAGTTACACACACACACACACACACACACACACACACACACACACACACACACACACACGTAATTAAATGTCAACTTGTGATTTAGACCTATTTAATTGTATGAAAAAAAATATTAGCGCATACGTATTTATATACCGTATGTATTTATGCATTTAAATATTCATCAGTGATATAAATAGACATAATGTTGCGTGATAATATGTAACACCATTAAAATATGTTTCTCTACGATTATTTATATATGATAAACTAAGATATGTATTGTAATGCAGGTTTCTGTCATCTTTTTGTTTATAAGTAAATTATGAATATAGAAATTATGAATATAGTCCTGCTTCTCCTTCATTCTTTTTCTAATTGCAATTGAGTGTGCACCTGGTGCATCTGAGCGAAACGTTCGCTCGAAAATAAATAGAAATAATAGAAAAGTTTGACGTAATCCATTGGAAATTGTCAAGAGTGGAATGCGATAAGAAATATATGTATATATCTTTAAATAATGTCAAATATAACAATCATCAAATATTTATACAAGTATATAAAAATATACAAACTTCGGTATTTATTTTTTGCACTAAAGAAAATATCATTTTGAAAAGAAGTTGCAACATTTTCTTTAGATTTAAAAAATTTTTATTTATTAGCTTTTATCCGTTTTAAGTTATTTATAATTTCTATTTATTATATATTTATTTTAAATTTAAAAAATTTTAAAGCTCAGTACTTTATCTTTAATATATTTATTTGAAGATATTTGGCCGGCACTATAGTTGAGATAAAAAGCATTCCGTTATTAGCATCCTTCGGCATTCTTTCCAGATGCACTGCTCACAAAGACTGCACAAAGAAAATTAAATCTCGCTATTAATTCATGACCTTTTCAATTGTTCGCATGATTTGCTTCATCTAGGTGCTTTATTATCACGAACTTTTTATGCTGTTTTATATAGCTTGCATATTTACATAGACAATTGTATTTCTCGTATTTCATTCTTTTGTACTTTTAATCTTATAATATGTTTTAATCTTATAATATGCTTATAATATGTAAAACGATACGAAGATACGACGATACGAATACGAGACTTCAAATTTCTACATCTCTGTTTCCTTTTTTGGATGCCATTTTTATTTATATTCCTGAATCCATATAAGTACAGAGCGACGTTCATTAATTACAAGTTACAAAGGAATTCGAGACCGCTATTCGTTCCTGTATGTCATGTTTTATCTATCAGTATTACAAGATTCTGTCGCGCACAAAGCGTCAAGTGCGCGACTATTTGCTCTTTTGTTATCTCTGCGCGAGGTACATTCGAATATGGCAAAGGAATTACGAGCGAAAAATATCAAACGATAGACAAGGGATAGGAGAGAATAGCGAGAGACGTTCACGATACAACGAACACATGCGTATGTTTGCCGGACGAAATGGTGAAACACGAAGATACAACATCGAAATAACAAGGGCGATGCGTCGACTAACAGTCAGCAAGAGTAGTTCCATCTGTTAATTAACCTTTGACCTCTTGTTCTCGGTGAAACCTGCGTAAACGTGCGTTACTTTTTCTCGCTTAATCTTATAACTTTCATTTCCACTGTGCGCTCTACAAACTTTGACAAAATTTCGCTTGTAGCTTCTTATGGTTTCGCTTTGTATTTCACTAAAATATTAAAATATAAAGCAAAATAATGAATCTGGATATGGCAAATAATACGGTTCTACGGGAAATGATTAACAAACAGAATTCCGTAATTTATATATCCGATGCGGAGAATAGGCTATCCAGATAAATGTATCCGAATTCGAGTGACGCAGAGGGAGAATATTCACTAGCTATGAGAGACTTTGCAGTGTAAGTACATGTTCATCGCGTATTCATGCATGTCGGCCTGTAAAAAGAACGGCCCTTTATGAAAAGATGCGCGCGCGAATGAGGGTGGTCACAGGCATGACGCGGCCTGTCTTTAGTGTATACTGAAGGCATGGATTTCTTTTTTCATCTATTCTTATATTTGCAGAAGTTCGAAACTGCCGAGCCGTTGAGAAAAGCGTCTTTATAACCGGGCATAAAAGCTCAAGAAGAAAAAAAAGCGGCATGCTTGCAGAGAACTCGAACCTATTCCAATCATACTTATAAAATTAATATATAATGCAGCTTCTACTTAGTAATTAAATATAATAATTAATCACAATAATACGGTTGTTTTACACAGCTTGCATAAAGCGGCTGTGCCGTTACTTAATAAACGATTTATTAGAAATCACGATTGGATCTTCTCATCAAAATCGCGCGATATGTTTTTTTTTTTCCTTCGTAATTTATGAATACACGACAGTTGCGGAAGATACCAACTGTTTTTGACGTCAAGTGATGTATGAAAAATTAGAGCGATTCAATTTTCATAATTAAAGCGCGAAACTTAAAAGTCGAACTGTCCCTAACTTCGTGCAACTTCTCTAGATTGACTTTTAATCGGCGCGTGACATAACTCCTCATTGAAGTCATGACGGCGCCAAACTAGTGCCGAGATCGTTTAACGAGCCCAAAAACTTTAAATTGCTACATCCATCGGCGAAAAGTTCCGGAACGTTATCCTGCCGCGCCAGTATTTTTGCATTCATTTCGACGCCGTACATAAATTTCTCTTCGTATCTTTCCGTAAGATTCGCTTTCTCGCGATCCGGCATAAATTCCGCGTGGCTTCGATATTGGGATCGAAATGTCGATCGAGTCTCTTTCTTTTTCTTTGTCCTTAATCTGAGAAAAGTTTGTTCTCCCGAAGGGACATACTTCGCACGAAATTACACTTCGATGATTAATAATGGAAGTCAAGCTCGGAAATTTTTGGCGTGCATCAACGCGCGAAGTACAATAAACGTACATGTATGAAGATCAATATCGAGGTCGGAGGATGATTGACGCGTATGTTTTGGAAAAAATATCCCAAAATACGCTGCGTTCTTGAGAGCTTAAATGTGAAGTATTAAAGAGTTACGTATGCGATGTATTTCAATATACTGCGCGCTACGTTTGAAAGAATTTCAGAAACATCTCATAAACATCGCAGTCCTGATAGATTAATGCAAAATTAATAGAAAATTCTAACGCAAAAATCTTTTCAGTAAC